CCTGCAATTGTTAGATCTGTACAGGTGCCTCTATCGTTCGGCACCAAGCTGCTGGCGCAGTTGCATCTACGTAGCTTGAATTTATTTCACCGTGACAGCAACTTGGTAGAACGTCGGTATTTAGGGTTCATTATGGATCCCGGCTGGTATTTTGCGATGACTCACAGTTCTGCGGACTATGCAACTGATGGGCTAAAAGAGGGGTGTGAACTGGAGACGGTCCAGGTTGCGACTCTGGCTCTTGCAGCAAACGATCTAACAATTTCCCGCCGGAATAACTGGAAAAGACAAAAGAGGAACGGAATTCAGAACATTCCGCCTGGTCAGGTGTTAGCTACCGTCATGAAGGGTGCCCAAAATAACGAGTCCGCTCGAAGTCACGGCTACTTCTCTAGAAGCCTCGATTGCGCATCGCTCGGGATACGTTAGATGATCATTAGCTTGGGACACTCTGCACGGTAGCGGATAAGTATAATACAAGTATTTACAAAAACACGTATTCTAGATTGCGTTCTATCTGCATTGCATCCCTATTTTGCGGCTGATACTTGTCCGCTTCTTCGGCGCAGTCCTCGCTCGGGTCCTCCATCTCCTGTTCCACTTCAGGGCAGAGTTCGCAAGCTCTCTCCAGGGTTTTCCTCGCGCTGTTGCTACGCTCCAATACGTAGCCGTTCGTCGAATCGTTCGACTGTGCTGGCGGGGACCAGTTGTACGGGAGAGTGTACGGAGCTGTAGACGCGTAGGGTCTCTGAAAGTAGATTGAACGTTGTTCGTCAAAGTCTCTCGAGCTGTACGAAAATGATTGTTCCTCTTTTAATTATCAATCGATGCACACCTTCTCGAGTTCTTCGTGAAGCCAGTCGATAGCATGTATCCACTTCCTCCTCAATTCGGGACTGTGGTGTAGAAGTTGATGCGCTGGTCTACACTTGCTGAAAAGGTGCACCATACATTTGATGCACTGGTAGGCTCTCTTTTGGTAATGGTGCTTGTTTCTTTGTATTATTTCAAATAAACCGTCTCTCTCGTCCGGCACACCTAAAATTTATTGATATTCACAAACCGATATATCATGGCATCTATCTATCTATGGATATTCTAGGTACACACCTTTAAGCGCATTGTGAACGCGGTGTGTCTGCCATGAATCCTCCATAAGGAGCATGGCGAGCAACAGATCCGTGTGATGCTTCAGTTCGTGAGAGAATGAAAATCCAATTTGCCACAGTAATTCGCTAAGCACTGATCGCGATAAGTGTGGATTTTCCCAGCAACAATATTGAAGTAGTTTCACCGTGTCGGTGAAGGTGACGTCGGTGACGTTGACCTCGGCATCTTCGATTAGCTTCTTCGTGTAACTGTCAACGAGAGTGTCGGTCGATTCATTTGTAACGCACTGCCCGAATCTGATTAAGAAGATTTCCGAAATGATTACCTGTTCTTAACAAAAAGAATATCAGCTGCCTGCGGTTGAATGGGCATCACGTATTCGTTTTGACAAGCCGGATCGCCGTACGGATTTGGTAAAGGCGCCACTCCCGACTGTGCATGACTCGAGTGTGCTTTCGACGAGACGTCGCAGCAACGTATCAGCAAGCTGACCACCTGATGCAATTTGGTTAGCTCTGGATACTGATACTTGACCGTTGGACCGGGCCCTTCGTCGATCGCGACTAACATAAACGTAACCGGGACGTTCAACTGCAATCAAAACAAAATCGTACAGATACCGTTGCAGATGAAAGCGTGGACGGTGTCTTCTAAAATTTTCTGACGCGTCTTACCTTAAGCAATTGGGCCTTCTCGGCGAGACCGAGCGACGCGTACGTGTAGAACAGAGAGAAGTAATGCGGCAGGTGACGTCCATGCTCTGAGATTTCTCGATGAAGCAAAGACAGAACCGCGTGCAACAAGTGATCGCTGAGCGTCGCTGTTGGGTCCAACAGTATAGCTGAAAGTACAGATTAAAATTCGTAATTATTTTATTGGCCTGTACTTAATGAAAACACTTTTGTCTCTCTTAAGGACAAAAGTTAATGATAGAAAGAACACTTACTTGGTGCGTTTAAGCTAGGTGGCACGCAGGGACCATCCTGGAGTGAAACGTGTGCAAGAAATACCAGAATTTTGAGAAACGCTGTTCGAACTTCTAAACTGGGGCAGCTCAGAAGGTACTCGCAAAATCTAAACACAACGAACGGTTTTCGTTAGATACTGACATCTATGCTCACGCGTATTGTACTGAAAGAAAACGCGATACCTGTGTGGATGATTAAACAACACGTTATGGGCGAACCAGGACCGCACAGATTTACTGCTGCGCAGATGATGGCACACGATGTCGTACCAATCCGTGGCATTACCGCGTAATGTCTTCTTTGTATGGAAACCCGTGTAAAACAGGAATCTCGACGCTAATTGAACGGACAACATTCCAAGCTCTTCTTGCTCAGGGCTCTAGAACAACGAACGGCGAAACGTTAGAAATTCTTCGCTGATTACAAGGAATCAATTATTTGTTCGATAGAACTTACAAGTTTCTCGTTCATGTTCTGTCTGTTTATATTATGAGGATTACAGGACACGAGTTTCTTGATAAATTGAAAATACTCTGCGCTAAACTGGTTCCGATTATGCATGAACTTTATATTTTGCTTCCTCACGCTGTACTCGATAGCTGGAGGCATTTTCATGACTCCCAGTTTCGTATCTGGAAATGAAAACACCTTTCTTTAACACCGCACGACCCTTTGACGAATGGGGAGTCTGAAAGACACTCACACAATGATAACTCGTTGACGCTCTTCATTAAAGAATTCTCCTCTACGTCTAGTCTGGTATAAAATAACATGTAGGCGTTCCACCATCGTTTCTGTTTCCGGTAGCTCAGTCGTTTGAGCATGTGGTCGAAGATCTCTCCCAAGTAGTCGCCGCCGAAACACTGGGACTTCATTTCCTCTTCTTCTTCCATTCTACATTCCGTAACGTCACCGTCATCGAACTTATACCACTTTGCGATACCGTCGCTTTGCCTGGCACAAAATTATTCAAATTATTATGTGTACAAGCTCTGTTTATAAACCTTGTACATATAGGATATTTAGAAGATCCATGTAATACCTGTGTAAAATATAAGAGTAGTAATGGCCACCACTAGCCTGACCGCTGTGCACCACAATACCAGTCAGCTGGTATTTGGTACAGGTTCCCTTCATCGACTCCTCGTAATCACAGTCTATAACTTCTCCCTCCACTTTAGCCAGTCCGGAAACAGTGTAAGGTTCCATGTCCAAGTCCCTCGGGAATTCAAAATAATCGTTGAACTTAATAGCGCAATCTCGTTCGAAGTCGTAATCGAATCTCTTCAATTGAATCGCTAACACTGGTGGTAACTTTTTTACACATAACCGTTTCACTGTGACAACCTAGAAGAGTATGGGATTTCAGGGGACAACGTTGCGATTAGCCTTACCGAAGGAATGAAATTGCGAGAGTATTTATACAGGTTCATACCTTTTTATTACACTTGTCACAATGATAAGCGTCCGCGCCTTCCAATAATTCTCCTTTCACGTACTGTTCCAGGGAGTCCAGTAAGTTGCTGTGATTCCTGATGTCCACGCTTATTAAACTGAACGGCTCTTCCTTGGAATATCTGCAGATAATGTAATGCGGTATTACAGTTTACCGAAAAAAGCGGAATGTAAGAATTAAGAAGGTACCTATGAGGGCAACCTTTGCAGATTTTTTGGTCACTATATGAACCACCGAGAATCTTGCTCATTATCTGTTCGTGTCCTAGAGCTTTTAACGCTTCATCTAAGCTTTCCACTAAACTCATGAAAAACTCTACCGCGTCTTGTTGTTCCCTAAGATTCACAGGTTCACCTTGAAGTCTGGAAATAAAGAATAGCAGACGTATGAATACTAATCTACTAAACTATCGTACGGTATTTAATAGATGAAATATAATTTTGGAAATCTGCACTTACTTGAAATGCTTCCAGAGACCTCTGGGTATGTAGTATTGTAGTTTGCTGTACGCCAAGTGACCGAAGATCGCTTGTACTTGCTTCAGTATCCCGATATTGTATTCTTTGCGGGACTCGTCCGCCCCGCATTTCTCCTCGTTCGTGTCGTTATCGTTTGCTTCGATCGTTTGTTCTCCCTTGATACGTTCTTCGCCGGAAAAGTCCTCGGTCAAGTCTGTCGCCGCACCCTCCGCAGCCAGCAGCCCAACTCTTATACTCTCGACCATGTACAATTGTTGTAATACTGAGTTCATGTAGCAGGTCGCGCCCGCGTTCTTTAAACCTACGAAACCTTTGAGCGGCCTGAGGCCGACTGGCGGCAGGTAATCCCATTCCACCAGCGGTTCATCTTTCTCCGAGTAGAACATGTCAGTGAGCATTGTGACTAGAAGTTTCATGTTGGGTACACAGCCTACGCAAAGACCTACAAGTAAATCGAATGCCGCGCTAGTCGACTGGGGAGTTGTACAAACTGGGCACGCCTGCGAGGCACTTAACTCGCCGGTGCTACGAAGCTGCAACATCAGACGGGACGCGGGAAATACAAAATCCTCGACCAGCTCTTTCACCAGATTGGTGCCGTGCTTCTCGTCGGAGCCGAGCTCGAATTTTTTACTGGCCGGTAAAAATGCCAACAGCTCTTTCGTCAGACCAAGATGACCCTCGAGGACAGCCTCGTCCACTTGGCTGTCCCCGTTTTCCTTCACGCTGTCCCGTACCTTCTTCAACCACTCTATTTCAATATTCAGCAGCGCCTCGACAGTTAAGAGGGGACACCCTGACATATGAGCAAAGTTCAACAATCTGCATAACAATTGAAAGTACTCGTGGCTCTGTTTCGCGTGTTCGACGACGGTGGTGTTCAGAACACTGAAGAGCAACGTAATGGCAAATAACAATGATTGATGACCGCTGCTGTACCAAGTCGATATAAGAAAAAACTGTTCGGCAGCAGCCATTCTGATCATCCTTGAGGGACTCAACAGGACGAGGTCTATTAGAAACGTATGCCACATTTTGTCCCTCGGTAATGACTCTAAAACACTTTGGTTTAGTACCAATGCAATCGTGAGAACCTCCAAAGCCTCTTTACAAACTAACACATCATTGTTGTCAGGATTATTCCCTGTATCCTTCTCGTTTGATTCGTGTAGTGCGTGAAGCGTTTCAACAGACGCGTTTATGTTGTTCAGACTGCCTGTGGAAGCCGCCCATGCTAGCCTAATTATGGCACGAATGGTCGCTACGTCCATTAATGGTAGCTCCCAGGATAGGACTTGCATAAAAAGCTGCCGGCATTTGTCAGATTCGGTTCCCTCGCTCAATACCCAACGTGTTAAGTGTTGCGCCAATTTTGCGGCCACGCTTCTCAATATATATTCCGTGTTCTGATTCGGTACACTTTGCAATGCCTGCTTCAGAACCGCCGCTGGCGCCCGATTGTTGTGGGCATGATTCTCTTGGTTCTCTGATATCCCAGCTTGCATTTCGTCCAGTACGCAAGCCATGACGTTGCCCACTACCGTCAGCAACAGTTTGCATAGCTTCAACACCGTCAAGTATGCTGCCCGTTTCGTAGTTTCGTCGGCGTTCGGTAAGAACTTGTTTTTACTTAACATCTCCAAAATTACTTCGGCTTCGCCGCTTTTGATGAAATTACACTGAAATTCGAACGCCCTCTCGGACATTGGATCCAAAGCCGGCATTAACAGACTATATAAAACCTGTAAATACGTACTGCTCGTTAACGCTTCTTCCCAAGGCAAGTTCTAATGGTAAATGTAAACGTAAGCGTTTCGACCTACCTCTAAATTGTATAAAACTTGGCTAGGACTCGGAGTAAAAAATAAAGAATCTACTGTAGTATTTTGTTCATTACAAAGAGCATTATTTATATTATCGTCTTCTTTACAGTGACTGAAGAATAACCACTGTAATCGTGTTACAGTAAGGGTATCTGGTGGCACCAACTGTAAAAGGTTCCGTGCACCGTCACGTAACTGTGAGTGTTGAAGTGTACATCCCAGATCTGCCAATTGAAAGAAAAACTGCGCGTACTGCGATCTTTGCGATATAACCTACAACAAAGACATAAACGTTTCACGTTCCAGCATTCCCTCGACAGCACCTTCATAAAATGTAAACGAAGAACGACAAAGAATCTCTCTTAAAATTGATTTCGATTCGTTATCGTTATTTTAAATCGAAAAACAAATTAACATACCACACCCGGTAAGCTATTCTCTGCTTCTACGTTTGGCCCATCGTATGGATGATGGGGAGAACTAGTAGAACTATCCGAACTACTATCCGGTGAACTTGGCATGTTGGTATTTACTTGACTCAATTTTGCAGACAACAACTGAAAGTGTAACAATCATTTTATCATGTCGCTTACCATGTTACGCGTTAAATCTAAATCTGTTATCGTCAACAATGCAAACCATTTTATCTCTCAACGGAGTTTGAGAAAGAAGCTTCCTGTCGTCCGTTGGCTCTAACGACTCCCCATTAAGAAATAAGTCGAGCTTCACATTCGAGCCATTTGCTTTAATTCTACGCAGTATTTGCCGCCGCAATGATCCCAATGTGTCGTTACTATGCGTGAATATATCTACGTCATCTACGTTAAGACCAGGATTCGCAAAACGAATTATTAGAGACAAGTGTTTCCCACGAGTTGCTCTGCAAACACCATATACAGTAGTTTTTCGTTACATTACAAGACCAACGGTCTTTAGAAAGGGTTAACGAACGAAGAGAAATTATAATACCTATGTAAAGGTAATATTCTTCGTTCTACGGGAAACGCTGAATCGCATTCATTTATATACTCTTGTAAAACCTTCATCACTCGACACATTTTCATGGCTTCCACTTTAATTTTATTCGACATTTGTTCACCCCGCTCCTCTTTTCCCTCGAGGTACACTTTACTCAAGACAGACACGGTGTCGTAGTGCGCCTTTAATCTGTCCATGCACTCCCCTATGTAAGTCACATGAAACGCCAATATCGAAGAATGAAGTCGTGGTCCTAAATTAGTGTTTACTTCCTTTAAAAGTTCTATGGCTCGATTAGCAATTTCTTCGGGACTGTTAGTTACTACCTGAACGAATCAACGATATATTTATTAACAGACAGTGTCGTCGCGTGTCATTGTAACACAGGAGGAATGAAATTATAATTCTACTTACTCGCCATAAATAATCTGTACCAATTAGGTCAACGTCATCCATAAAAAATGTTCTTCTTTTCAATTTCAATTTTCCTTCTTTAGAGTTAACGGCTTTGAAGAATCGTTCGTAACATTTAATACCACTTTCCGTGAGTAACGTGGGATCTAATTGCAGTATATTGTTTTGGAAGAAATCTTTGTTTATTGCTGGATCAAGATCTGGCTCGTCGCCCATCAATTTCGAAAACCATTTAAAGCAAGCTTCCCGGTCTGACACGAACACACCTTGTTCTGCTAAACATTGCCAAATTTGCACAGCTTGATCCTCGCATAACCATAATTGACCATCCTATATAAAAATATAAACATTAGCCATTAATAAAGAAAAAGAATCACTGGCTCATTAATCCTGTACCAGCAGGAAACTGATGTACATACTTTTAATAAGAAACGTAGGAAATTAAGCCTCTCTTGCACTTGCATAATGTGATTGTATCGACCGTCGGACATGTAAGTATTGGGATCAATGTCTGGATTCTCTTTGACCAACTGCCGCGTTTTGCTCATATAATTAGTTAAGCTAATTGTCACAAGAATTACTATCGAATGTTCAGCTTGAAGTCGTTGTATGACATCTTGCCTTGAGTAATAGAGAAAAAAAGGAACGAGTTATACGTGAGATATATGCATGCATACATAAGAGTTTTATTAGGATAAACGTACCTATAATGTAAGTGATGACCCCGTTGGCCATGACCTATGTTAGGATTTGGTTCATAAAGGCAACATATTTCTCGGAATTGCTTTAAAGCTGGCAACACCCACTTATCGCCAGTTTTCAATTCTTCGACACACTTGTCTAGCCAAATTGTTTTCTGAGCATCCCTCTCTTGCGAGCACGAGTAATCAAGAATCTTCACATGAGCGTTTAGCGCTTGATCCATAATCTCTGTGGGTACCTCGTCAGAGTGAGCCAAGTTCCAAAAAAGAGCTAAAACCTAATTTGAGAGAAATACACGTGGATATTAAATATAAACGATAGTAGAAATATATATACATATATATGTATCACAAACGCACATGTAGAGCAAAATAAAAATTACAGAACCTTATGTGCCATTACTCCATCCTTATCGTCTTCTGCTAATCTTCTGATTAATTCTAATAACTTTTCTCTTTGCTTCTTATTAGCAGTCTTCCAACTCATCTAAGATAAGAATACCGGTAACGTGTTAATTCGTTGTAATTAATTATATTCGTATATATTAAAATCGTAATTTCGTAATAATAAACACCTGAAAACATTCAAAGAGATGATCGAGCTGCTCGGGACTGAAATCCCAAGCAAGTTTGGCTAGCAAGTCGTGAACGTTTTTCTCGATTGCCTCGTGTTTCCCAGCTTGTGCCGCCCAAACAGCATCTAAATCGTCTAATGTCAAGGCTCGTTCTTTTATAATAAAGCGTAAAATCTTTTCCAACTTTTCAACGTATTGAAGTTGATGTAACGAATCTCTTAATACGATTTCTAATACCCCATTCTCTTTTATCCATTTCTAAATAAAAGAGATTAATACAGACGATTTTTTAAGGCATTATATATTCATGACATACATATTATCAGATAAAAATTTTAATTGAACGTACAGCCATACGTTCCGCAGTAAGCCACTCGTCCTCTTCAACAATCGCATTTCGATGCTGATAGAAACTGACGGTCGCGATTACTTTATTCACTTCGTTTAACGCATTCATCTTTCCATTGAACGAAGAAATTTGTAAGAGTCTCAATATCATCTTCAGTCTCAAAATTTCCAAGTTTTTAATCATCTCATCCTGATGCGGCACCCGCGACACTAAACACTTTGCAGCTTTTATTATAGCTGATATTGCATCGTTTTTTGCCTCATTCTTTGCCTCCTTCTTTAATTCCTCATCAGTCAAATTATTCAAAATTACAGGCACCATTTCCTATTGATAGAACATCATGTTAAGAAACGAAAGGTTTCGAAAAATCAGATTAAACTGTGACAACTGGAAAACGGATGAGATGAAACTTACCACGATAGGCATTAGATATTTAACTATTGTGTGAACAGTAAGTAGCTCATAACACAAACCGAAAGGTCTGATTAAAGCATAAATAACTAGTATCGTTAAATTTCGACCGCTCTGAAATCTAGAGAGCAATATTTCAAATCCGTTAAGACTTCCAAACCTGTAAGAAACGAGTAGCGTTCAGTACACTGAATATTATAAAATGCAGAATTATCGTTGAAGTGAAAATAGTATTCGTTCACCTATTTATGAGATCGACCAACCACCCGCGAGTACTTCTTGAATCGGCAGGTGGCCGTGCATAAAGTTCTTCATCAGGAATATCGCTGCCAGGAGGAACAGTTTCTGATACTCTGGCTGCATTAAACGTGTGAAATCTACAACAGAATATCCAAACATTAGTATAAACAAACGGAAGTAATATGCTTCTCCCAAAAATAATTCACTTACTTATTACTAGGATTAAAAACCATTGCCAGCAGATCAAGAAGAGGAAACCAGTCCTCATTCAATTTCAGAACGCATAGTTCCACCAAACGTTCGCAGTTTGCATTGATACAACTTTGAATATTTAATTTCCAACTACTCACTGCGTCATCGGTCAATATTTTAGTAAAAGAAATTGTGAGTCCTTCTCGAAAAAAGCGTTGACACGCTTCACTTTGTACATCAATTCCTACAAGCAACCATATGGAATATTAATATTGTTCGGTTACATAATGATCGCAAAGTAATTATCATATATAATAACCTTTTTTACAAAGATCGATACTGGCTTGTAGCAGGCACTCTAACTCTTGTTCTGGCAGAACTGGTACAACCCAACGTGGACTAGATATTTTTTCATGAAGAATATTAAGTTTTGCGATGGGAAAGTCAGGCTCCCCCTGAAGTTGATTACTATCCTCTATTGAAGTTAAAGTATCATTGGTGGATTCCGTTTGTACCACATTCTCCGTGAGTTGAAGTCCTGACATTGTATCAGCCAATTGTTGTGGACCCGGTGGACTGTGCATCTATTATAAAATTTTAATATTTCAATATTTCTTTGATTAATTTCACGTTCCATTCGTATACAACATTAATATTTGTATTTGCAAATATTTTCAGAATCTGTATCTTAATCTTGATAGTTGCACAAGATTTATTAACAACTATCACGGTTGCAACTAAATATACTCAATATACTCAAGATTTCACGACAATATTATTGTTTCGTGTAAGAATAACATCAACGAAATGTACCTGTGTACTTTGTTGGCTGTCAGGAGGGTCCATGCCTACTCCTTGGCCTCTTGTGGCAATTGTCATTTTATATGCTGTTTGCTATATTCCAATTGTCTCAATACCTCTTGGTCCAATAATTGCACCACCAATAACAATCATTCAACTCATTCACTGACATTAAATATAATTATACCCTAAAGGCCTTCTTTGAATGAACTATACCTACATTATCTGAAACACAACGATAAAACTTCTATGATACATAAACCGAACCAATTGCTCGTACAATACATTCAAAACGCTTAACATAAATAAATAAAATGCTGTACTAATGATTACAGGGCTACAGCAGATTCAAGGTAACCGAAAAAAAACGGAAATCTAACGGAGAAACGTAAGTTGAAAATTACTATTGTAGATTGTAAGCGGTTCACGCAGACTTGTTCAAGAGATATTATAAAATTAACGCTACCGTTTAAAGAGCGTAAACGTTAGACACGGTAATTCACAGATTCGATATACTTCTAGTAAACTCTACGTTCGATACGTATTCCTGGCCGTGTCTATACTATTCGGAGCAAAATAAATGCACATTTTGCAAACATAAGGGACACCATCGGAACGATTTTCACGGTTGATCGTGCCAAAACCGTTCAAACAAGTCTGCGTGTCATCCGAACGCATTCCCATCCCAGGATATACTGGAATGCGTCTTCGATTCACCGTTAAACAGCGAAATAACAAATTTTATGGGTGCTACGCGAAAACACACAGATAACGAGAAACTTGTCGCGCATTTAGTAAGTCGCATGACAGCATGATCTTGCTAAGGTTTCAACCGACGAATTCCGATCGTTGGTTTCGGCCCGACAGGAACACGAACGTCTCTCAAACGATAATGGTGTCACTCGACCGTGCGGGGCTACCACGAAAACTAATAATCACATCTAACGGTTTGTATACTTTTTCGAAATTTCGCAATCCACGAAAGGTACGATGTCACGTCGCGAATAATTCCTCTATCACTATCTCTCTCCCCCCTCACTCTCACCCTCTCTCTCTCTTCCTCTGTCTCTCTCTCTCTCTCTCTCTCTTTCTCTCTCTCATACTCGCTCCCTCTCTGTCCCTCTCACTATCTATCTATCCATCTACCTATCTAGCTATCTCTCTCTCACTCTGTCTTTCCTTCTATCACCGTCTCCCTCCCACTCGTTGATTTTCTTTCTCTCACTGGCTCTTTTTATTTCTCGGGTGTATATCGTCGAACGTACCCAAGAACTGTCAACCGTCAAAAATTAGAGCCAGGAAGCGGCCGAGCCGGTTCGCTTTCTGTCGACGGGACAGCATCGTCTGGTAAATAATACCGCGGAAAATCACCATCGGATTGGCTCGGAATTACGCGAAATACGTCTACGGCGTGCTTACAAAGGGCCAACGTTGAGCGACAACGGGAGGAAATCTCGGTTACTCGTGCGCGGCCACTTCTTCAAACGAGCGTCCGATTTCCGTTCGTTTACCGAAGAATAAAGATGGAACGATCCCACTCGATCGGTACCTATGGGATTTCAACGGTCCTCGGTGTTCAGGGAGTAACTATTTTCGCCCCGTTCACTCAACCGGGCCACCTCCGGACAAAATGGCGACCATCCTAACGATTAGCACTGCCGTATTAAGAAAAACCTTTTAAAACCCCGCTGGCGGACGTATCGCGTGCGAGTAACGGCGCACCGCACGTACGGCTCGCCCTTGCTATCGCCGATCAACCGATATGAACTTTTAACGAGGTGGAACGCACCTTTACATAGTAAACGGTGGTAGAAATATTTGTTGCACTTTTTGACGTGACGTTATGGAACTCACTGGCGAATCTGTAAACACGGCTATCTTACGGCGCTACTGTCGTCCCCGAGTTAAAACGACCACCGTACTCGCTGACACTACTACGTTCACGGTGTTTCCCGTGTCCCTTTCCCTCGATCATTCAATTTCGATCGTTTCCCCGAATTTATCTTTGTCTTTCGTTCCAACCGCCGCGAAACGTTTCGCCGTTTCTTTATTTTCTTGGAAATTATATCGTAAACGTGTTTCACTTTTGCGACCGTTATTTTCAGCAGCTTTGCTCCTCTGGTTGGTTCATGGTCTTAGAAATATCCGCATTACTTTCTCAAGTTCGTTTTTACCGTTACGCGTGTTTCACCCTTATTGCTGATCCTCCTTCTAATGTTATTGTTAACAATTGTTCGAATTGAGTAGAAACTTGTGTTTCGGAGTTCGCACGGTTGGAAGGGAAATTTTCAATTGGAGCATCTCACGAGTTGTTCATTCAAGTATAGAAACGTAGTATTAATTCTCGCGCTACACCGGCACTTACCAGTCGCATCACTTTACTAAGGGACAGTTTTAATATCGAAATTACAATCTTCATAATTTTCGG